CAGCGGGGCACACGAGTCCACCGGCGACATATACGACCGTCACCATGATAGACGTGAGTACACACACACACACACCACACACACACACACACACACACACACACACACACACACACACACACACACACACACACACACACACACACACACACACACACACACACACACACACACACACAGACACAGAACACACCCACACACACCCACACACACACACAGACACACACAGACACACACACAACACACACCACACACCACACACACACAGACACACACAGACACACACACACACACACACAGACACACCACACACACACAGACACACACACACACACACACACACACACCACACACACACACACACACACACACAGACACACCACACACACACACACACACACACACACACACACCACACACACAGACACACACACACACACACACACACACAACACAACACAGACACACACACACACACACCCACACACACAACACACACACACACACAGACACAGACACACACACACACACACAGACACACACACAACACACACACACACACACACACACAGACACACACACACACACACACACACACACACACAGACACAGACACACACACACACACAGACACACACCCACACACACACCACACACACACACACACACACAGACACACACACACACCACACACAGACACACACACAACACACACACACACACACACACACAGACCACACACACCACACACACACACACACACACACAGACACAGACACACACACACACACACACACAGACACACACACACACACACACACACACACACACACACACACACAGACACACACACACACACACACACACACACACACACACTCGTTCTCTTGATGCCTTTCCTCCTCGTTATAAATCATCCTGACACAACTGGACCGTGAGACAGAAACCAGCAGAGACGAGGAGAGGAAACAGGAAGAGAATAAAGATTCAATTAGTTCAATTCTGCAGAAGAAGAGGAAAAAGTTAGATCTTTAAAATGATTTATCACTAGTTGTTATTAAATAGGTCATTACTCCAGAGAGCTGTCTCCCCCCCGCTGAGCACGTTTCTTTATTAGAAACAAACATTCAGAACAACTTTGGTTTTAGATTTTAAAAAACGTTTAAGGACGGCAGCTGGTCGAGTCATTCTGCAACAGATTTCAGGCTGAAGGTGCAGAATACCCAAAAGCTCTTTCACATTTTTGTTTACATTCTTTTCAGGCCCTCCGTTCCCGCCCCCCAGCGTACGTGTCAGCGAGAAGTCCTCCAAACTCACCTCGTCCTCCATCTTGTTTCGCTTCAACTGCTCGTGGTTCAGCGACGCCAACGGAGCCGTCAGATACTTCGCTGTGATCGTAGCCGAGTCTGACGGTAAGAGAACAACATTCATCCCCCAAAACTTTGTGAATATTTGGGTCATAATATCTGTCTTCCTGTTCGTCTCTTTTCTGACAGCCAATGAGATGCTGCAGCCGGAGCAGCGCCACCCTCTGCCCTCATACCGCGACTACATCACTAACTCCTCCGTCAGAGCGTATCAGACCGCCTACTTCACCAGCCGCTGCCCTCAGGACACGGAGGCCTCACCTGGACAGGTAACACTTCAAATCAGCTTCCTGTTATAAATGTGGAATGAACAGGAAGTGACCTCTCAGCCCGATCACGGTCTGAGCCAGGCTTTAATGTCGTAACCTTCAATCTACCAGAAGGTCCTTACTTTATTTTCAAAATAAAAGCAGGCTTGAATTCAAATAGCAGGTACTCTCAGCTTAATTAGACGGTACACAATTTCAAAATAAAAGCCTAACAGGTTTTAAATAAGTTATTAAAATAAAGGATTTGGTTGACAGTGTTTTCATTTTAATAATCGTCCAGGTGATTGAGGTGAACCTGGGCGCAGGAGGAGATCGTCTGGGTGGGGCTTGTGACCGTTACCACGACGACGACCTCTACCTGAGCGACAGCTACGGCGGCTTCTGCGACGGCCCGCTGAAGTCCAAAACCTCGTACAGGCTGAGCGTGCGGGCGTTCACCAGGCTGTTCGACGGAAACCACAGAGAGTTCCCCCAACCGCTGTTCACCGACACTTACCTGTCTGCACCGCTCCGCACGCACGCAGGTGAGTCACACACACACACACACACACACACACACACACACACACACACACACACACACACACACACACACACACATACACCACACACACACACACACACCACACACACACACACACACACCACACACACACACACACACACACACACACACACACACACACACACACACACACACACACACACACAAACACACACACACACACACACACACACCACACACACACACACACACACACACACACACACACACACACACACACACACACATGAAACTCTTGGAGACTTCAAACTTAAAACAACTGTTTCCTCTACACCTTGTCCTAATTAAAGTAAAGGAAAGTTCCCACTGCCTGAGGTGTTTATTGTTTATGTCCTCCAATGAAAACAGGAAGTCCAGAGGCACCGACAAAATAAAAGCCCTAAATATAGACCAGGAGAAAAAAATTAAATTGCTGGAAAAACTTCCTTTCCCTGTTTTGTTTATGTGATAGAAAAGGCCCTCTCTTCCTCACACGTGACTAACTGTGTGTCTGTGTGTGTCAGAGCCTCTAGGGGGCGTAGTGGAGGGTCTGAGTGCGGGGATGTTCCTGATCGGTATGATGGTGGCCGTCGTCTCGCTGCTGGTCTACAGACAGAGGCTACGCAAAGTGTGAGTGCTCCAAAACACACACAGAATACTGAGTCTCATCCAAAGTGAATCCTAAAACTGACTGAGACTTCACTTTGTCTGTGTGTGTGTGTGTGTGTGTGTGTGTGTGTGTGTGTGTGTGTGTGTGTGTGTGTGTGTGTGTGTGTGTGTGTGTGTGTGTGTGTCTCTGTGTGTGTGTGTGTGTGGTGTGTGTGTGTGTGTGTGTGTGTGTGTGTGTGTGTGTGTGTGTGTGTGTGTGTGTGTGCAGGGCTGTGCAGGAGAACCCGGTGGTGAGGATGAGTATGTGGAAGGAGGTTCCGTCGTCTTCAGGGTTATACGTGGGCGTCAGGAGGTAAGACTTGAGTGTGGAAGAGAGAGAGAGATATTAGTTTCCAATACCTCCTCCGTCCGATATGTGAGTGTGTGAAGTATTCCTTTCCAATAAAACACTCCCTCTCTCTCTCTCCCTCCCTCTCTCTCTCTCTCTCTCTCTCTCTCTCTCAGATTACCTCATCGCTCACCCACAGCATCTGTTAATTACTCTGAGTGTGTGTTAGTGTGTGTGTGTGTGTGCAGATATTTGTGTATTCACAGATCACTGAAACAGATCGTCTCTCTGCTCCAAAGAGACCTTAAAGTTCTTTTTTTAAATTATTCAAACTGCAGCAGCATCCTTTTAGAAAATATTACTTTCATAATAATTAATATAAACAATCACAAGACTATTATAGAGAGCTGTCCTCCCAGCTATATCCAGCTCTGCATGGGTCTGTAAACCTTTCTGTGTTCTAACCTCTCTCCATTTTTCAAAAGCATCTCCAATATTGATCCTAGTTTGTTTATTAGAAACATGCAGAGGCTTTTTAGGTCGGGTACAATCACTTCAGAAAGGTTTACAGACCCATGCAGAGCTGGATAAACACTGAAGCTTCAGAGTCCACCACATGGTGACCTGAGTGAGCATCCACTCTAGAGAGGAGGGGGGGAGACAGCTCTCTACAATGTTTAGAATTTAGACTGCAGTACCCATTTTAAACACTAGGGGGCAGAGTTACATACTGCTCCTTTAAAGTGTGACTTGTTCTTTTTTCCTCATGTTTTCATTTGTCTGTTGTGAGATGTTACTGCTGTATAAAATCAACCATGCACTTATGAAAACTGAGAGAAATGTTCTGTTATCATCACTTCTAAAACATCAACTTTTGTTTTCTTGTTCCTGTTGCAGTAACCGTCGGGTCACCAGGTGAGAATCTCTCGATTCTTTGTGGTGTTTGTGGTCTCTGAGGTTTAATCGATGAACCACTGATTGAGAAACATGTTAACCAGTTCTCCTTCTATCTGTTTGTCTTCAGTCCTATCAAAGCGTGCCACTTTGAGTCCCACCTGAGCAAACTGCAGGCTGACTCCAACTACCTCCTGTCTGAGGAGTTTGAGGTGAAACTCACTTATCAACACATTCTGTCAACAAACGAAGCTTTTACTTTGAAAAACACTCAGTAACAAAGAGACATTCATCGTCTTGTGTTTGTTTTTAGGATCTGAAGGATGTCGGGAGAAACCAAACGATGGACATCGCCCGAGTGCCCGAGAACCGAGGAAAGAACCGCTACAACAACATCCTGCCCTGTGAGTCCAGGTCCAAGCTTAAAGGAGATCTATTATTCTCACTCAGACCGTTAATGATGTCAGTGTGGGACACCTGCTGAGTGAACTCCTTACTGATCTGATGCTGACGTCAGCCTCTGCCACGCTTCAGTTCAGCAGCATTTCTTTAAAGTCTTTCTTTGTGATTTTTCACACTTAAATATAATATAAATCAAGTCTATCCTCTGAAAATAACTCTGTGAGTCATGACTGTCTACAATGGGTGTAACACCCGAGTCCCACTGTCTGTGATGTTTTCAGAGTTTTCAGAGTCCTATCTTCACTTTGTTTACATCGCCAAGATGGCCAGCTGACTCCTCCCCTCGTGTATAAAAGTTGTTTGATTGAGGGACTAGAGAAAAGAAGAATAACATACTGTACTCACTGCTTAACTGTGTTTCTAGATCACGCTCATTTCAGGTCAATTTACATGCAGTGTGAAGATACCAGCATAATAAAGATCGCTAGCATTAGCATGCTAACACAACAATGCAGCGAGAGTTGTTTTGGTTTTATGCTGGTGCTCAAGGGCGACATCTGCTGGATCAAAAAATCGCATATAAAGCCTTTAAGACACTCACTGCACCACCAGACTTTCATCAGATGCATGTTCAGTCTGTCTCTGCTGATTTAGTTTTTTACTTACTCTTCCCGGCTCTGCAGCGCTGAGAAATATAATGAATAATGTGAAAGTGACAGAAAGCCTGCGGCTGTCAGCCTCCTCTGTGAGTAAAACAAAGCAATCAATGTGAAGATCATTACAAAGACGACATCGTTAAAAGCTTTAATTAATGAGGCCGCTCTTGTTCCCATGGCGACGGTGGTGTACCAGTGGGAGGGTCGAGGCTGGAGGTGATGAAAACATTAATAACTTCACGACGTGTCATGCAGAGGAGGGTTCTTCTGGGACTCCGTCGTTGAGTCGACTTTTTTGCAGAGCTACAAACGTCTTTTAAGGTTCACAGGCTCCTCCTCCTCTTCAACCAGCAACACAAAACAGCTCTGTGAAGTTTCTTCAGAGTCAGAGTCAGAGATGTCCCTCAGGAGGTGGAGGAGACCAAAAACAGAGCAAACAAAGAATACTGGAGAGGAAAACCTCACATGGTGTGTTTGAAGCGTTCTGATTGGTTGTTTCTTGCAGATGATCCGACCAGAGTGAAGCTGTCGTACCTGGAGGACGACCCCTGCTCCGACTACATCAACGCCAGCTACATGCCTGTACGAACACACACACACACACACACACACACACACACACACACACACACACACTCATATGTGTGTGTGTGTGTGTGTGTGCAGGGTAATAACTATCGCAGGGAGTACATCGCCACTCAGGGCCCGCTGCCCGGCACCAAAGACGATTTCTGGCGGATGGTGTGGGAGCACGGCGTCTACAACGTCGTCATGGTGACGCAGTGTGTGGAGAAAGGACGGGTGAGTCAGATAATCTTTAATTCAGTGTCCCAGGTAATCAGACACCTAAAGACTCAACATCGAAACAGATTCAGGTCGACGTGCTGAGAGTATCTGAACAGACGGGGCGCCACATAGACCCACTGAAGATCTGGAGTTTTTAAAAGCTTTGTCAATTTGAACTGTGTGTGTGTGTGTGTGTGTGTGTGTGTGTGTGTGTGCATGTGTGTGTGTGTGTGTGTGTGTGTGTGTGTGTGTGTGTGTGTGTGTGTGTGTGTGTGTGTGTGTGTCTCAGGTGAAGTGTGATCAGTACTGGCCTGCAGACAGAGAGCCGCTCTACTACGGGGATCTGGTCATTCAGATGCTCTCCGAGTCCGTCCTCCCAGAGTGGACCATCAGAGAGTTCAAGATCACATCGGTACCCGCTCTGATCCTCCTCCTCTTCCTCCTCCTCCTCCTCTTCCTCCTCCTCTTCTTCCTCCTCCTCCTCCTCCTCCTCCTCCTCCTCTTCCTCTTCCTCCTCCTCGTCTTCCTCCTCCTCTTCCTCTTCCTCCTCCTCCTCCTCTTCTTCCTCCTCTCCCTCCTCCTCTTCCTCTTCCTCCTCCTCTTCCTCTTCCTCCTCCTCTTCCTCCTCCTCTTCCTCTTCCTCCTCTTCCTCCTCCTCTTGTAAATGAAGTTCTGTGTTAGTCCATGAAACAGGAAGTAACCACTGTTTCTTCTTCATGGCGACAGGAGAGCAGCTGCAGTTACCCTCGGGTGCTGCGTCACTTCCACTACACCGTGTGGCCCGACCACGGAGTCCCAGAGAGCACCCAGTCCCTGATCCAGTTCGTCAGGACGGTCCGGGACTACGTGGACCGATCTCCAAGCAGCGGAGCCACGGTCGTACACTGCAGGTAGGACTGAGGGTGTGGGTGGACTGTGAGCCTTCAGGGGGCAGGACACAACGTAAACATGGGAAATGTTCATTTGATCCTTTGGACCGGGTCTCTGTTTTTTAATTCTGTGTGTGTGTGTGTGTGTGTGTGTGTGTGTGTGTGTGTGTGTGTGTGTGTGTGTGTTAGTGCTGGTGTTGGCCGCACGGGGACGTTCATCGCCCTGGATCGAGTTCTGCAGCAGTTGGACTCTAAAGGAACCATCGACCTGTACAGCTGTGTGTTCGACCTCCGCCTGCACCGCCAACACATGGTGCAGACCGAGGTAACCAACCCCCAAAGAGATCAACATGAAACTTTTTATTACACGTCTGCTGGGGGGTCTAAAGTTAATCTAAAGTTAGAAGGAGGACATACTGGCTGCTGCATTGTTGTCAGAGAAGCCAGCACTTCAACATGCATGTTTCCTTAATGATCAGAGAGTAAGATACCTTTATCATCTCACTCTCTACACAGCTCACTGACTGGACCTTTAACGAGCAGTGTTTTATGACATCATTGTGTGTATTATATTTTAAACATGTGTGTGTGTGTGTGTGTGTGTGTGTTGCAGTGCCAGTATGCCTTCCTGCACCAGTGTGTTCGAGACGTCCTGAGAGCCAGAAAACACCGCAGTGAACAGGAGAATCCTCTCTACCCCATCTACGAGAACTTCAACCCCGAGTACTGCCGCGGTGAGCTTTTCACACTAAAAACACCCGGGGAACGTTTACACATGAACAATCCCCTGAAAACAGAATCCTTTTTTGTTTTAATTTTGAAAAGAGTTAAGCGCTTAGACAACGTTTTAATAACAACCGCAGCGCCCATGGATCTATAAAAAAGACTTGGGGTGGCACCTAGGCTGACCAATCAGATTTTAAGGGTGACCCATGACACCCCGGCCCCCCCTCTGGACTTCTCTAGATGATATTTGCTCAGAAACAAGACACAAGTAATGACCTTTACTTCTGTTTGTGTCTCCACAGATTTCATCTACACCGGACGCTAAATCCTGATTTAATAGAATAAGACATGGATCATTTCAGGCTTACAAGGTCTTTAGTATTTCTTTAATGTGAAGTTATTGACCAGTGTTACAAATAAACACTCTTATCTGTTCCCAAGTTAGGAGAGGTATTAGAGCAAATAATAAATGTTTAATTGTGATAAAATGAGAAATGTTTGCCTGGAATACAGCCAAGCTTCTCTTTGTAACTTTGGCCTGACATTTAATCAATATTTAATCTAAAATTTGGCGATATTTAACATTTAAACTTTTAAAAATTAAGTTAAAGAAGAGATCCATTTCAATTTGGCAGAGGAAATCACAATCAAAGTGTTGAAGGACTTTTCTAAAGACAGGAAACGGGTTAATCTCAGGTCGTTGGCCGTTCATAGAAGTATGAGTTTTAAGGTCACATATTCTATAAAATCCTCTTCTCCATGTTCCTCTAACATGTGTCTCTAGTCCGTCTCCAAACCCCCCAACGATGAGAAAAGTCCATCCTCTTCGTCTTCTGCCTGCTCCACTTTTCAGAAAATGTGTGCGCAAACAGGCCGTTTGTAGATTTTCCCTTCATGACATCACAAAGGGCAGTAGCCCCTCCCCCAGGTGGGTGACACTCCCACAGCTAGGTGTTTGTTCTGCCCTCTGAGTCTGCCTTCTCACCGTAAACAATAGGACATGGAGCCAGAAAGCACCGAGTACACCCAAGCCCTTCCAGAGAGGGGGCGTGGTCAGACACAGCTCATTTGCATATTTAAAGCTACAGACACAGAAACAGCCTGTTCTGAGCAGGGCTGAAATAGAGGGGTTTATAGACATGATCAAATACAGGATCAGAGTGGATTTAGAACAAGAAACTTCACACACATGTTGAAGAGGAGCTCTGAGACTTATTTACACTGAAGAAGAGGAGGAGGATATGTGACCTTTAAATCTGACGTTAGCTAGCAGTGTTAGCGAGCCGCTAACCTCGATGAAACTGTCACAGGGATGAAAGAGCCATATGTTTCATTTTGACTGTCTGTTCTCACCCACCGCTCGATATAAGCTGTTTATTTAAAACATTACACGTAGTGCTGTATGTAAATATTGATGTAATACTCTTTTTTAATATGATAATGCACATTTATTGTATGTCACGAGTTTTGTAGTGAAATCAAACTCTTGTCAAGTAGCTGCAAGCGATTTTATACGGCTGTAATCAGACTTTCAGTGTAACCTGCTTTAAAGTTGTATATTTAGATTCACATTTAGTCCATCTTTTATACAGTTGTTCATAAATAGTCTAAACATTTTAAAGAAAAGTTGTTTTTCTTTTACATATTTGAAAGAATTGTCTAAATTAGAGATATTTTTATGCCATAGGTGTGTTGAAAACATGACGTTTTTGAAATGATAAATATTGTAGCTATTAGAGTAACCCTCTTTTTTTTAATATGACTGACTGGTGAGGGCATTTCAGGGTTTTTACATTCACTTCCTGTTTGATGGGTTTATATTTAAGGACAATGATCTATGGCTTTAATCCCTATCATTATAAAGTTATCATTCCCAGATGTAATAAATAATATCAATACTGATAGTATTTTGTTATAATAAAGTATATGGTAAATGGACTTGAGCTTATATAGCGCTTTTCTAGTCTTCCAACTACTCAAAGCGCTTTTACACCACATGTCACACCTACACATTCACACACTGATGGTAGTGATCGCTATGTATCGTTAGAAGTAACTTATCCCATTCATACACCACCACTGAAGCAGCGGGAGCAATTCGGGGTTAAGTGTCTTGCCCAGGGACACATCGGACATGTTGCTCAGCTGGGGATCGAACCCTCGACTTTCCAGTTGAGAGGCGACGACTCTACCAACTGAGCCACAAGTATATATCACAAGTATATTTAATAATTGTATGATACATCACAGGCCTGAGAATGTAAATCTGTTTTTATATTTTGCAGTCAGATTGATGTAAACTGGGTCATTAAAGAATAATTAAAAACAGTTTGTTGTCAGTTCATTTGATTACATACATCAAGGCACAGAAACTTACGTGAAATATTACATACACAAACATAAATATAGACATTAAGAAACACATCAACACATAAAATCAGAGATTACAAAACAGATACATCAACTAATGTATGCACAAATACAAACAAGAATACATATATACATTGCTATGTTGTTTTGTCTATGAATGTTAGTATGTCGTTTTTGCATTTTTTTGATGAAGGATGTATCTCGTTTCTTTTATAAAAATCGACATACTATAGTCCATCAAAAAAACGACATACTATAAGTCCATCAAAAAAAAACGACATACTATAGTCCATAAAGAAAAACGACATACTATAGTCCATAAAGAAAAACAACATACTATAGTCCATCAAAACAAACGACATACTATAGTCCATAAAAAAAACAACATACTATATAGTCCATCAAAAAAACGACATACTATAGTCCATAAAGAAAAACGACATACTATAGTCATCAAAAAAACGAAAAAAACGACATAATATAGTCCGTCAAAAAAATGAAAAAAACGACATACTATAGTCCATCAAAAAAAAACGACGTACTATAGGCCATCAAAAAAACGAAAAAAACGACGTACTATAGTCCATCAAAAAAAACGACGTACTATAGGCCATCAAAAAAACGAAAAAAACGACGTACTATAGTCCATCAAAAAAAACGACGTACTATAGTCCATCAAAAAAAACGACATACTATAGTCCATCAAAAAAAACGACGTACTATAGGCCATCAAAAAAATGAAAAAAACGACATACTATAGTCCATCAAAAAAAACGACGTACTATAGTCCATCAAAAAAAACCAACGTACTATAGGCCATCAAAAAAAACCGACGTACTATAGTCCATCAAAAAAACCGACGTACTATAGTCCATCAAAAAAAACGACGTACTATAGTCCATCAAAAAAAACCGACATACTATAGTCCATCAAAAACTAAAAAAACGACGTACTATAGTCCATCAAAAAAAACGACATACTATAGTCCATCAAAAACTAAAAAAACGACGTACTATAGTCCATCAAAAAAAACGACGTACTATAGTCCATCAAAAAAAACGACGTACTATAGTCCATCAAAAAAACGACATACTATAAGTCCATCAAAAAAAAACGACATACTATAGTCCATAAAGAAAAACGACATACTATAGTCCATAAAAAAAACAACATACTATAGTCCATCAAAACAAACGACATACTATAGTCCATAAAAAAAACAACGTACTATATAGTCCATCAAAAAAACGACATACTATAGTCCATAAAAAAAAACGACATACTATAGTCCATCAAAAAAACGAAAAAAACGACATAATATAGTCCGTCAAAAAACGAAAAAAACGACATACTATAGTCCATCAAAAAAATGAAAAAAACGACATACTATAGCCCATCAAAAAAATGAAAAAAACGACGTACTATAGTCCATCAAAAAAAAACGACGTACTATAGGTCATCAAAAAAACGAAAAAAACGACGTACTATAGTCCATCAAAAAAAAACGACGTACTATAGTCCATCAAAAAAAAAACGACGTACTATAGTCCATCAAAAAAAAACGACGTACTATAGTCCATCAAAAAAAAACGACATACTATAGTCCATCAAAAAAAACGACGTACTATAGGCCATCAAAAAATGAAAAAAACGACATACTATAGTCCATCAAAAAAAACGACGTACTATAGTCCATCAAAAAAAAAAACGTACTATAGTCCATCAAAAAAACGACATACTATAGTCCATCAAAAAAACCGACATACTATAGTCCATCAAAAAAAACGACGTACTATAGTCCATCAAAAAAAACGACATACTATAGTCCATCAAAAACTAAAAAACGACATACTATAGTCCATCAAAAAAAACGACATACTATAGTCCATCAAAAACTAAAAAAACGACGTACTATAGTCCATCAAAAAAAACGACGTACTATAGTCCATCAAAAAAAAACGACGTACTATAGTCCATCAAAAAAACGACATACTATAGTCCATCAAAAAAAAACGACATACTATAGTCCATAAAAAAACGACATACTATAGTCCATAAAAAAACGACATACTATAGTCCATCAAAAAAACGACATACTATAGTCCATAAAAAAAACATACTATATAGTCCATCAAAAAAACGACATACTATAGTCCATAAAAAAAACGACATACTATAGTCCATCAAAAAAACGAAAAAAAACGACATAATATAGTCCATCAAAAACAAAAAAACGACATACTATAGTCCATCAAAAAAATGAAAAAAACGACATACTATAGCCCATCAAAAAAATGAAAAAAACGACGTACTATAGTCCATCAAAAAAAAACGACGTACTATAGTCCATCAAAAAAACGAAAAAACGACGTACTATAGTCCATCAAAAAAACGACGTACTATAGTCCATCAAAAAAAACGACATACTATAGTCCATCAAAAAAAACGACGTACTATAGTCCATCAAAAAATAAAAAAACGACGTACTATAGTCCATCAAAAAAACGACGTACTATAGTCCATCAAAAAAACGAAAAAAACACGTACTATAGGCCATCAAAAAAACGAAAAAAACGACATACTATAGTCCATCAAAAAAAAAACGACATACTATAGTCCATCAAAACTAAAAAAACGACATACTATAGTCCATCAAAAAAACCGACATACTATAGTCCATCAAAAAACTAAAAAAACGACATACTATAGTCCATCAAAAAAAAACGACATACTATAGTCCATCAAAAAACTAAAAAAATGACATACTATATTCCATCAAAAAAAAACGACATACTATAGCCCATCAAAAAAATGAAAAAAACGACGTACTATAGTCCATCAAAAAAAACGACGTACTATAGGCCATCAAAAAAACGAAAAAACGACGTACTATAGTCCATCAAAAAAAACGACGTACTATAGGCCATCAAAAAAACGAAAAAAACGACGTACTATAGTCCATCAAAAAAAACGACGTACTATAGTCCATCAAAAAAAAACGACATACTATAGTCCATCAAAAAAAAACGACGTACTATAGGCCATCAAAAAAATGAAAAAACGACATACTATAGTCCATCAAAAAAACGACGTACTATAGTCCATCAAAAAAAAAACGTACTATAGTCCATCAAAAAAAAACAACGTACTATAGTCCATCAAAAAACGACGTACTATAGTCCATCAAAAAAAACGACGTACTATAGTCCATCAAAAAAAACGACGTACTATAGTCCATCAAAAAAAAAAACGACGTACTATAGTCCATCAAAAAAAACGACGTACTATAGTCCATCAAAAACTAAAAAAACGACGTACTATAGTCCATCAAAAAAAACGACGTACTATAGTCCATCAAAAAAACGACGTACTATAGTCCATCAAAAAACGACATACTATAAGTCCATCAAAAAAAAACGACTACTATGTCCA